TTCTTGGATGCATCGGAGCAATACCCGGCAGTGTTTTCAAGGCGGGAAGACTGATCGTTCGGTGATTGAAATGCAGCGAGTTTTTGGATGAAGCGAGGTCAGCCACAGGGCCGCAGATCCATGGCCAGCTAGAGATCGACAAGAGCTCCTCTCTGTATTCTGGCAGAGAACAAAAGCACAAACTTAGATGATATGGGAACAGGTATGAACAGGTTCGTCGTTTGCACCGGGTTTCCAGATTACTGAGCCAGGCACAAAGACAAAGTTGACTGAGTCGGCTGGGCAATGTTACACATGTTCTCGGTTCTAGTTTGCAGGCACTTTGTGAGCAAAAAAGACATCGCTGAAGCAGTTCGCAATCTTTGAGGTCTTGGTTCGTGTCCTTGATCCTTACCCTTGCGATTATGGCAGGAGGTGTTTGGCTTCTCAGCTGCAAGAGACAGGCACAAGGCGTTCTGCACCAGTGGATGGATCGAACACCTGATTTTGCTCAGGTTCTTTGTGGCATGCATTCAAATGGGTATCAGCAGCTTCACAGCGAACCTGAGCGACTACAAGACGGTTCGGTTTGTGCAAAAGGGGGCGTTTGTTCTGGCTCAAGAGCTTGCATGTGTTGTGTGTGCATGTGTTGTGTGTGCACGTGTGTGTGTGTGTCTCTGTTGATGGCACCTATCACATCAAGGCCCATGGCACCAATCTCATGCTTTGAGTACTGTAGTTACATGTAGTTACTGTACTTGCATACTGCATTTGGAGGACACCCATACATCCTTCTTGATTGCTGTGCACCAGTGTAGACATCCGCGACTACATTAAAGAAGAGTAAATACGCTGACCTGAACAAACCAAGCATAAAGGCTTCCAGCACTGAGTCAGCCTAGCTGCCTAGCTTTGCTTTCCCTTTGAGACGTCACAGGGCGTGATGGACTTCCTGGATCTCATCAAGCCCATCTTCCCAGAGAAGGTTTGGCAGGAGAAGCTCATGGAAGACCTCCAGATGTCTTCCATCACTTTATCTTACCCAGCCACAGAATCCTGTATATATTGCCTCTATAGGTCAGGCGTCTGTCTTATACCTGATGAAATATCTTACAATGAACGTGTTTGATGCCCTATGTTTGGCACCAAGGACCAAGGTGTTTATACCTTGTTCTGTTGTTGACCCATTCAACAAATTCCAAGACCCAAGGAGATTCAGAAGAAGGCGACGGAGTTCTTGAATAATGAGCTGCCAACGTTGGCTCAGCAGGTTGCCTCCAGCTTGGAATCTCTGAGCTTCCAGGCTTCGACGTGACCATTCTTTTTCGAGAGCTGGGGGCCACATCAGTTCATGTTGATTTTGTATGCAACATGGTGGTACATTTTTGTGATCAAGTGAACAAAGTGTGCCATCCAGATCATCCAGGAACTCAACTAGACTGAATTCATTTATGCGAGTTCACCTCACAGCATTGGAGTTTTCAATTTCCAACATCCAAGCTGCACATATTTCTGCAGACATCTCTCTGTGAGGCTCTGATGTTCTTTGTGTACCTTTTCTTCTGGATCTTCGAGCCACTCCCCATTAGCAGTCCTGTGGCAGAGGCCTGCGGGTTGCGCACGTAGGTGGCCAAGACAGTTTGGCTCTAGGCTGAATACTTTAGAAATGTTTAGCCTGGGAGTTACTCTCTGTCCTTCCACATGACTGTTCTCTGCAACGTGTCGACCATTAAAGTTTGTGCAAGGTCTTCAAGTCATACTTGCTGCTGAAGACCATTGTATGTTTACTCTTCGCATCATTGATGAGTGTGACTTGGATATTGTTTATAATCGGAATTGGACTAATCTGAACGCCGAAGTTCTTGAAGGCTTGTATCATGTCCAACATGGCTGCTGCGTCCGTTTGTATGGGCAACATATGCCTTCTTGATCGCAAACCACTTTTGGCGCTTTCAGAACTGTGGGGCGGGCGTCACGAGTTTACGACCAATCGGTGATTCTGTGGGTCTTGCCAACTTGTGGGAGGATAGTATGAGAGCGTGCAACGCTGGCTCAGCATGGCGACCTAGGCGCTTCTGATGTGTTTGCAGTGTAAGATTTGGAGCCTCTTCTTTGCCGACTTCTCAGATTCTGGACCGTCAGAGGACCATCAATTTTACTCGGGCTATAGAACTGGCCGTTGCAAGGTGCTGACATTTCTGCTGAACTTCATCCCGGAGATAGGTGAGAAAACTGGTCAACCCTTGCATTGTTACTTTTGCATGCCTCATGTGTCAGATATGGTCGTAGCTCATACAATGATACTGGGCGTGCAAGACAGCAACATTAAGCTTATAACTAACCCTCTACTCTTTCCAAACAAGGCATGGCATGGAACCTGTGTAATGCCTATTCAAGAGGAAACTCTTGCTTTCCTAAACTGTGAGAGAGTGTAAAATGTGGCAACAATGATCTTCAGGACTAATGCCCAAAGAACCATCAATAACCATTAATATGGTTTTCATACAATTGTTTTTTTCTCTTTATTGTAGATGCTGACAGTGCCGGTGATACCGTGAGCCCACGGAGGTGCCATCGCCTCAGCAATTCTGACAGTTCCGGCCATTCTCTTTGATGGGCATCTGGATCGGCAGATGCGGCTGGAGAACTTGCTCTGGTCGCTTGGGTCAAAGAGAAAAGTCACCAAGCCAGAGAGTGCGAATAGCAAAGAGACAAAACTAAGAATATGCAGTGGAAGTGCGGCTCATAAACTTCATATGTGCTTTGATACTGAGATATTTGATTACAATACCTTGACAACATGACCTGAAGCACCACTACATCCTGGTTACAACCTAAAAGATCATTTTTGCTTCGTCGAGTAACACTAATGAGAGCATCGACCCCTACGAGCTTTACAGTGCTCTTATACTGCTAGCTTAGGCTGGTCATCATCGGGACTTGCATCAAAATCTTCACAGGCAGAAGAGCCAGTTTGGCCGCTGGCAGCTTTTTTGTTGAAGGTAAACCCACCCTGCCCACCAGCGAGACAGATTGTGGGTGTCCAGAAGGAACAATCATCAATCGAAGACGACACCCAACCAAGTTGAACAACATCAAACCGAGTAGGGCAACATCACGAGTTTTTTGGGGTGTCCTTCCTTCATTCTTTCCTGCATCCTCCTGTTGTGTTTACCCCTTCCCTTGGTTTACTTCCTTTTCCTTTCCCTTGCCTCTATAGAAGATCTTTGCTTACTGAGAGGCACAAAATGGAACCAATGTTCAACGATGGACTTGCTTCATGACCAATCCGGATCTATCCAAGATCTGGTCAGATTGCTGACCGTCAAAGTGGTCGACTCTTCCTTGGTGGTGCGATTTTGGCAGGAAATGTGGTGGAAGTGCAAATGTATGCCAGCCTCGGTGGCCAATTCATGCGCATGCATCCGGTGATTATCATGGCTGGGGCCCAGATTCTCCGTCGATTTGTGGATCAAATCGGTCGCGGAGCTGCTAAGGCCTTGATCATGCTGTTCTCCGCGCTCTTGGGAGTGACAGGTATGTTCCTGGCGCTTGTGCTGCAAGTTGAGACAAGATGTGGGAAGCAGATGCATAGAGACATTGAATTTCAATCATACTGTTGGAGGCAGGAGGGTTTGTTGATACTTCAAAGAAAGGAACTGCCAGTCTCAGGCAGTGCCTACCATGGCAGCGGTGAAGTACTACTTGGTGTCTACTGCCACCTGTCCAAACTGAGAAGCTCTGGGCTCAATGGTCCTCTCGTGTTCCGCTCGTGTTTTCTTTGCCTGTTGAGTACAAGCTTATGAGCTTGGCACGTTTGCGGCGAAGCATCGCACTCAAGTGCGCATTGAAGCAGCACCTCGCAAAGACTCCCTAGAGTATCTCCAGGGTGTTCACTACGGAATTAGTAACAGCACTGCACAAAGTTTTGTGTAGCTTTGCCAAGGAGTTTTTTTTGTATACTGACACTTATTGAACTGGCTGCAAGGGCTTGGACTTGGAGTTTGATCTCAGGACATGCCAAAGCAGTTCAGGAATCCTTTGCTGATCTTCATTGAGGGCGATGCACCTTTCATGAGATGTGCGTTTGACCTTTGCAGGTTTAAGATTCAGGACGTGGATGAATTGGATGAGCCTTCAGAAACATATACAATGACATTCAAGACATTCAACATCATTCATGCAATGATTCCTGTTTCAGTTCAGCCAAGGCGACAGCACCACACAAGAACTTTGTGGAGCAGCAGCGGCTCATAGAATGCCACTTCATGGAGCCACCGGCACCAACTCGGCAGGCACTGCAGGCACCAAACCAACAATCCAAGCAGAATGTTTGCAGTACAAATTGGTGATGTACGAAGGTACGAAGCCTGAACTAGCTGCCACTCTGTAGCTGCCATTTTCTTCTCTCTAGGGGCTCCTGGCCTTACTAGGAGCGTTCGGACGCTACTACTTTAGCCTTTAGCTGCTTTAGTCTCAGGGAACGGACAGCACTGAGCACTGAGCATAAGCTTCCCCAACTCATTTGTTCGAGGATGAGGAGGCTGTTGAGCTTGGCCGCAGCTCTTGAGCGGACAACTCGCATTTTCTCATTTTCTCACCCAATGTGGCCTCTTCCGAGGAGCTTTTTGGACCTGTAAAGATTGCTCCACAGATTGGCCACATGCATTTCATCTGTGTGGCAATAGGCCACAGGCCGCCCCAGTCTTCAAACAACTCTAATTGTGTTTGCTTTTGCAATCGGTGTACATACATCGCTGCCAGAACGTGTGGATCTGGCCCTTTTGCCTCAATGCGTTAATGTTTGCCCCTGCACTTGGCACGGGAGATCTTTCCTTGCTCTGTATTCATTGGCTCAGATCTTGGAAAGAAAAAGTTTGTCATTGCTGGTCATCGGTGAAGTCCAATCCTTTGCGTCTGAAGCCGCTGGGAAAGGCTTTGTTTCCAACATGCAGAACCTCAAAACTAAAAGGATTTTCTCTTGTCAGGGGTGTCTGCCGATTTCTCTCTTTCGTCACCAGGTACAGCAGAGGCGCTGCGTGACGGTCGTCGATTGAGCTCTGAGGTGGGCACCAGGAGATGGCTGCTCAAGCAAGTGACTCCAGTCCATGTGCGTTTTCCAATTTTGACCATGTTTGACCAAGTCTTCGCAATTTTCGATCTGGTTGTCTTTTGCTCATTTTGTCGGACAAAGCCAGCTGGCCTGGAAACTGTCTTGCAGTTTCGAAGAACACCTTGTTCTTTTCGTGCCGGCAAAATTGTCCTCAGCAGAAAACCTTTCTATTTTGGCGATGTTGCAATGTGGCAATGTGTCTAGAATGCAAGTTTGGGAGCTTTTGCACCTGTCTAGAGTCTAGAGAAGCAAGCTTCTTTGCCGTGAAAGTACATACTGTAGGTCTTTTCCAACGTACTCCCAGGTCCCACCTCCACTGCATGCTTCTGACAATTCAAAATTGTTGGATTCGGCTTATCATTCTTCTGTGAAGAAAAGGATGAAGGGATAGCATCTTCGTCCGGCTCCAGAACCTGTTTATTCCATTCAATTCCTCCAGTGTGAATTCGCACAATACTGCGCTGCCCCAGAGACCTTTGCTGTGGTTGCAAGCTCTGTGAAGAAGATTGTTCTTTTCAGCCAGATGGCCACAACAGCACCGTCCGACATCAGGAGAGTTTTGCGACCTGCAGCACCTTTCCAGCTGACCAGTTCCAAAGCACCGGTGATTTTTCTGCGTTTCGCTGTTGAGAGAACCAACAATCACCCAATCTCCCACTTTACGCGCTAACATGTTGGCCTGTTGGCCTCACCTCACCCATGCTGCAACTGAAGCATCATGGACGCGAATTCACTTGACCGTAAGCGAATTGGTAGCATAGAAGTGCTTGGAGTGCGTGAGATACACTTGGGCACCTGACCACAGACTCTGTGCGCCGTAATTCTAACTTGAGCTCCATGCAGGTGTAGTGAAGCAGCTTCTGTAGATTGACCTTGGTCCGTTGCCGCGACTAAGCAAACTTCTCTCGAAGTCGAACCGGAGCTCCTTTGCGTGCTTGCCACTCCGAGCTACTAAGAAGCTTTTCTCACTAGCTACCACTTAGCTACCTACCTGCCCCCAAGAACAAGGTCCCAAAAGGCTACTAAAGACAAGTCAAAAGGATTTCCACTGTGCTGGCAAAGCTGACCTGCGTTCTTCTTCGCTTAGCTGCGTGAGGATTTTTTGGGCACCCGAGATTTTCGCGAAGGACTATGGCCTCAAGGCTCAGATAACGTATAGCTTAGTGGACCTAGAGAGACAAGACACCAGCTTTCCAGATTTAGCTTTTCAATCGACGGTCACTTGGAGAGGGTCAAGCCTCACATCAGTTCATGTGAAAGAACACTGTAAACTATTGGTAGGTTGCCTTCATGCTTTGTGCGCTTAGGTTTTCAAACACTACACTCAGTAGCTTTCATGCATTGTTTAGATTTCCACATGGGTGCGACATATTTTCACGAAGACAGTCTTCCTTTGTCACCTTGATTTGCCCCGTGCTTTGAAGGTGGACATTTGGGCCCTTGGCATCATCATGTATGGCCTCCTGGATGGCCGATTTCCGTTTAAGGCGAGCCAAGTAGCGTCCACAGGATTGAATGGAAAGGCTGCGTGTAATGCTTGCATACGTTTTGAAACACTCTGACTCTTGTCTCCTTATATAGTCATATACATATATCTATATAGCTTCAGACAGCTCACAATTTGTACTCCTAGATTTCATTTGTTTGAGACTAGTTGCTACAATATGGTTACAGAGGTGCAAGACATGTTGCTCATGAAAGTCTATTTGCACTTTTGATTCTGACTTTGCCCGGTGGAAGCTTCGTGTGGCTCCAAGGGGCAAAACCTTAGAATAGCCTACCAAAGACAGGTCGGAGGTCGAGGTCGTGGTTGTGGTTGTTGTTGTTGACCCAAACGAATCAGCAACTTCTTTCACTTCTTTGCTGCCTTCATTTGCTTGAGCCATGCAGGATGAAACTGAAATAAAGATCAAGGAGCCCAAGTTTCCAAGGAGGCATGGTCCGCAGGGCTGGCAGGGCCGCTGCGGACATGCGACACTGTTTGAGAGGTGGTGGTGCTATTTTGACAGGCTTCTATTATATATTCCAAGACAAAACCAAGACTCACATGTTTGGTTGGCTTTTGTCAGTTCTCCTCGAAGCCCCAATTCAGATTTCCTGCTTTTTGAACCTGTTGTAGGTTGGAGCCTCTTTGCCAAGATTTCATCAGCAGCATGTTGCACAAAGATGAGAAGCAACGTGCCTCTGCAGATGACGTCATCGTTTGGAGCCCAAGCCGCCGAACATCACAGCTTCCGGCTCGAAAGATGGCCGTGCAAATCTCGGCACAACAATGAACCTAGTAACAAGGACGCTAGTAGTAACAAGAAGCTACTAGTAACAAAGGGCATCTCTAGTAACAAGTGCCTTACTAGTAGTAACAAGAAGCTACTAGGGCTCCTGGCATCGCTACTAGGAACAAGGACGCTACTAGGGGCTCCTGGCCATACTACTAGGAACAAGAAGCTACTAGGAGCTTTTTCCATTTAACACTTGACAGAGCATGGTCAAGGAATTGACGAACACACACGAGGTCCATGGCTGGTTGCATCAGACGGACGACGGCATCACGCCAAAGCAGAGGAGTGACTCCAAAGAAGGTGACTCGGACCGTCGGGAGTACTCTGGCGGAGATGTTGAAACATGACATGGGCCAAGAAGAGTGTATTGAAATCGAGGTTTGCCCCCAACCACTGGGTTAGTTCCTTAGTTGATTTTTATGGTGTTATATTCTAAGACGCAGCCAGACATTTCAAAGTTTACTTTACATGTCAGTCCTCATTTCCAAATGCTCTGTAGACATCAAACAGTTGTAAAATATTGACGTAATCGTGAAGGGAGCTATCTAGTGACAGTGGCATATTGTTTGGCTTTTGATAAAGGAAATAGCGATTATATATATATATATATCACTAATAGAGACTATTATTAATATGTTTACTATAAAAGAAACATCACAATATGCACCTTTCCATGAATGATGACACCATTCTCGGTCAATCAATATTTTCATGGACTAGACTAAAATAACCGATAAACGCAATATAATATATCAAGTTTATTCCTGCAGGAATAGAAATACCATCAATGATTTGGCATGCTGATACACCCTTTGGAGTCGCATGCCAGATCTAATGAACAGATTGTTGGCATTTCTTTCTATTTTTCATATAGCTTATGGGATTTTAACATGCAAATAAATAGCAAACAGACAAATGCCAGAAAAGATCATGTTAAAATCATGACCCTCCCACATTTATGCATTTTAGTTCTTCAGGTTTTATCAGCATACATATAGTGTATGTGGTGATCATCAAATTCTTTGCCTTTTTCCCGAATGCGTAGCGAAGGGTTCTCGTTTAACTCTTGGGGGTCTGGGGGTAGAGCTTTGTTCGCGACCCGTTGCTTCTATGTTCGCAACCGTCCGCAACCGTCCGCAACCGTCCGCAACCGTCCGCAACCGTTCGCAACCGTTCGCAACCGTCCGCAACCGTTCGCAGTAGAGCGCTAAGGCGCTGCCATTGGGGGAAGCTTTTGCAGGTGACCAGGCATGGATGTGTCACGTGTCAGTTTGCGCCGCTATTCCATTGTGATTTGCGTGAAAAGGACATGTCGCGCAAGAAGCGTGATGCATTTCGCTGCACAGGGGCAGCGTTTTGTGAGATCCACAGTTTGCTACGCAGTTCCATTGGGATTAGCGTGTGGAGAGTCGAGTTTTTGGGGTGTTGGATGTGGCCGTGCCATTGGGACTTGCGTTTCAGGATGTGGCGTCGAGGCTCTGTTTTCGTGACAAGTCTCAGCTGAAATGCCGATTTTGGTGGATGGGAGTGTGCTCAGAACGGGTCGAAATCATTCCAAACGTGTGGTGTGGTGTGGTGCAAATTTGGTTGAAGCTCACATGAGATGACATTGTTACTTTTCGTGGCAGGGCAGGACTTTGTGCGGGTTTTGAGGTGTGGAAGTGGGATTTTCGTGGCAGGCGCAGGGAATCGTGAGGTTGCGATGTGTGACGGAGGTGACATTTCGTGGCAGGCGCAGTACTTTGTGCGCGTTAGACGTGTGGACGCGGAAAGATTCGTGGCAGGCGCAGGGAATCGGGAGGTTGTGAGTTGTGGTAGAGGTGAATGTTGCTGTCACATTGGGATTGGCGTGTGAGCGGGTGTCGTTTGGAGGGGCTGGAATCGCGAAACTGCTTGGCAGGGCTGCGTGATGTGTGTGCTCCGATGGGTGTTTCCGCTGGACTTTTGGAGGAAGTCTCGTGCGAAACGTTCGTTTTGCAGACTTTGACATGTGAGTTTTTGAGGAAGTCTCGTACGAAACGCTCGTTTTGGGGACTTGACATGTGACTTTTGGAGGAAGTCTCGTACGAAACGCTCGTTTTGGAGACTTGACGTGTGACTTTTGGAGGAAGTCTCGTACGAAACGCTCGTTTTTGAGACTTGACGCGTGACTTTTGGAGGAAGTCTCGTACGAAACGCTCGTCTTGCAGTCTCCCAGCGTGACTTTTGGAGGAAGTCTCGTACGAAGAGTGTGCCCTACAGGAGTGTCCCACAAGAGTGTCCTACAAGAGTGTCCCACAAGAGTGTCCTACAAGAGTATCCCACAAGAGTTTCCTACAAGAGTGTCCCACAAGAGTGTCCCACAAGAGTGTCCCACAAGAGTCTCCTACAAGAGTGTCCCACAAAAGTGTCCCACAAGAGTGTCCCGTATGAGTGTCCCACAAGAGTGTCCCACAAGAGCGTCCCGCATGTCCCACAAGAGTGTCCTACAAGAGTGTTCCACAAGAGTGTCCCGTATGAGCGTCCCACAAGAGTGTCCCACAAGAGTGTCCTACAAGTGTGTCCCACAAGAGTGTCCGACAAGAGTGTCCCATAAGGGTGACCCACAAGAGTGTCCTACAAGAGTGTGCAACAAGAGTGTCCCGTAAGAGTGTCCCACAAGAGTGTCCTACAAGAGTGTCCCACAAGAGTGTCCTACAAGAGTGTCCCGTAAGAGTGTCTCACAAGAGTGTCCCACAAGAGTGTCCCGCAACCATGTCCCACAAGAGTGTCTCACAAGAGTTATGAGTGTCCCACAAGAGTGTCCTATAAGAGTGTCCCACAAGAGTGTCCCACAAGAGTGCCCTACAAGAGTGTCCCACAAGAGTGTCCCACAAGAGTGTCCCGCAAGAGTGTCCCGCAACAGTGTCCCTTAAGAGTGTCCCACAAGAGTGTCCCTTAAGAGTGTCCCACAAGAGTGTCCTGCAACAG